TATATATATCATACATATATCAGGTACCTGATAGGTATACTATATATATAAGTACCCGATATGTGTATGATATGTGTATTATTTGTGTATGATTTTCTACATTTTGAGTACCCGATATATGTAAGATATGTGTAGGATGTGTAGGATAGACCATTTTTTTACCAGTGTCGGGTGAGAGGATCATTTTTTTGATGACACGGATATTGGGATTCCATCTTATGTCTCCTGTATGAAATTTTCCATGAAGTTTATTACCGAGTACTGAGATAGGTTCATCTAACTTTACTTGGACACGCGTTCCTTCAGAAAGAAGTTCCGTCTTTTTTGACACTTTGGGTGACCCAGTCAGAATGTCTGGGGGATTTCTTTGCCAGAGTTTATCTATTTTATTAACTACATCATGGAAATCTTCTGACCATTCCACGGATGTCACCCCGGTCTTCAACTCCTGTGCCACCATTCGTTTNAAGTCCGTCTTTTTTGACACTTTGGGTGACCCAGTCAGAATGTCTGGGGGATTTCTTTGCCAGAGTTTATCTATTTTATTAACTACATCACGGAAATCTTCTGACCATTCCACGGATGTCACCCCGGTCTTCAACTCCTGTGCCACCATTCGTTTGAGAAGAGGTTCTTGAATAGCTTGGATAGCTCGTTCAGCGTATGATTGCTGTTTATGTCTTCCTGGTTCTCCGAACCTCATCATCACCCCTAGGCTGTTCAGGAAAAAATCACGTACCTGATCATTGGTGAATTCTGATCCAGAGTCTGTCTCTATTCGATGTGTTGGTGGCTTAATGCGATTTCTTCTGTAGATTTTGACAAATCCATTGAGAACCCTATTTGCGGTTTTATCCTTTAGGAGTTCTGCGTCAACTCGTTTACTCGCGACTTCTACCACTACGAGGAAATAGTGGAATCCTTTGGGGTCGACTGGCATCTCTGCGATATCTGCCTGATGCGTCGCATTTGGTTTCCATACAACTACTCGTGGACGCTCTGATGACTTTTCCTTTAGGGGCTTTTTGTATAGATTGTAGTGCTCCTCACCTTTTAGAATTCGTGCTGGTACTCCGGAGAGATTGTAGTATTTGTAATAATTCTCTAAATGCGACATATTATGACAAATTAAAGGAAAGATTTCGGACTTCAAATCTTAAGATGACACGATTTTACTGCCTAAAGTGTAAGAAAGAAACCGAGACTGCTAGTGAAATACAAGATATAACCACAAATGGGCGTTACCGGCTGCATGGTGATTGCACAGTTTGTGGTATGCACAAGAATACTTTTACTGGGATAGACTGGGTTATCAAAAAGAAAACTAAGGAGAAGAAAAAAGAAACCGCGGCTAAAAGACATCAGACGGCGTACAATCGGCAATGCAAAAAACTTAAGCAGAAAATTTTAGAGGCCGATGATGCGTGTAAACAGTGTATTGATAAATGCCTTAAGGAGGCAAAAAAGAGGAAGACGGATTAGTACTGCCTTCTAAAAGTATTCTTCATCATCTGAGTCATCGAGAGATATCTCTCCATCATCTGATTCATCATCCGAGTCATCAAGAGTGCGACCTTCCTTAAGCAATTGGATGTTGTACGTTATTTGAGTCCATTTTTTTCAGTCTGACTCTTGCGTTATAAAGCTGCATCTGAGGAGTGCTCTTTCTATTACTACCATCCCTGCAAACCTGGTGTATTTTTTCTGATCGGCTTCATTGAAATTGTCAATGGCTTCTTTGTAGTAGTCTACTGCCTGTTTGTATACCTCTTCTGCTTCTTTATGCCGCTTCCACAACTCGGCTTTACAACAGTTATACCAGAGTCTGTTTATCTTGAGATGTTTTCCGAATTCTTTGATCGGAAGGTTTCTGACCATTTCTCTTACTATGTCTGGGTCGTTGAGAGGCGATGCCCGCATTTGGATCCATTTACGGATTCCATAGATGTCTACAAGATCAAGTCCGAGGTCTTCGGCAAGATAAGTGGCTGCGTGTAAGTTTATCATTGTATGTTACTTATAGTTACCTAATCTTCAATTGCCGAATGTATTTTTTCCAAAGATCCGCGCTCCTATCCGGTTATCCTCCTGCGGTTCTACAGACCTTCTAGGGATTATACTTGCATGTCTGTGTAATATGTTTACCTGAGTATGTTAGAAGTGCAGATTACCCGCTTACTTGCTCACTGCGTTCGCTTTACATAAAAGTAATCAACCCGCTAACCGAAGATATAAACCTACCCGCTGACCTACCTGTTATCAGTTCGAAAAGCCGATTGGAGGCTAAGAAATGTGGGACAGATTTTTTGGGACAGACGGGACCGATGGGACGCATTTTGGGGGGTAAAAATAAAACTTTTTCTGGGGGATGTCCTTTCCTATATTTCTGAAATATCTGTCCCATTTGTCCCATCTGTCCCCCCCCTCTTATTCTCTCTTCTTTTGCTTCCTTTTCTATTGTTTTCTGGTTTTTGGTTATATATTTATGGGACAGATATGGGGACAGATATGGACAGATATATGGGGAGTCATACCCCCACGGAAGGGGGATGTAGGTACTGCGAGGCCGTGGCTGAGGTGGGGTGAGCGCTAGCGAGACACACTACCAGCCCGACGACTTTGGAGAATATCGAATATGTGGCGTCCCAGGTCAGAATGAATACCAACGATTTCAAATGAACATCCCAAATGAACATTGCAAATAAACTGAACGTAGTTAGCGAAGTGGTTTGTTCCCAGCTATTTTACTTATTGATATAAGCCAAGTGTGACCTTTGGGTCACGGTCTCATAGTTAAGTTTTTATTATTATCCGCTGATCCTATCATATTGTGCATATCCGCCGATCTGCAGATTTTGGACCCTATTTAGGAATTCATGTGCGACAAATTTTCAAATTTTATTGGTCAATAAACGTGTTGATCCTCGTCTAAATACCTAAGAATACCTCGTAAACACCTCAAAACACCCTAATAAAAAAAAAATACCCATTAGATTTGGCAAAAACCCATTGGATTCTGAAGGTGAAGAAAATGATAAAGCTGTGTGATTATAAGTCAAAACTTTTATTGAAAATAACTTACAAATATCTCTTTTCATAGAGTTTAACGAAGAAGAACTGCATTTATACATTTTATAAGAGCTGGACGCGTTTTGTTTGTAAAGTTTTATATAGTTACGGTACTAGTATTTAAAAACCAGCTTTTTCTAATAGTAAATATGAAACTAATTAATTATATAGTCAAATTTATTAACTTTTTATTCATCAACAGCCGTTCACTCTTTTACCCATCAGCATGATAACGGTTCCTCATACTCCTCCCCATACTCCTCCACCAAGTAACTTCTTTCTGTGTTCCACTTGTGGAAGACAATTCAAAAGTTCGCGAGGCTTAACACAACACACTAGGGTAATTAAAAAATATAATCAACGCCAAGGTCTTGATGATGTGCCTGCTAATACAATTTCCGAATTTAAAGAAATTTTGGTGATGGAGATACACAAAAAATTGGTTTTAAATTTTAGGTCTATGGGAAAGAAGTTGGTATCTATACCATGTCCTGAAAGTATTTTTTTTTCCATTTTTTCCGGGCATATTCATTATTATTCTAAAGCAAAAGGAAATTACAAATGTATCTTTCATGGTGATAGTGCATATCAAATTTTAAGTGAAATTTTGAATTCTGATCAATGGGGAAAAAAAGGTTATTCGCAAAAACAAGAAACGTATGTTGTATGTTTGAATCCTACTCCGTGGAATTCTAATTCACATGATCAATCAGAAGAAATAGATCCTCTTGAGCAATTGATTCATCAACAATCTAAAAATTACAAGAAAACTAGACGGCCAAAATTTTCGCATGGAGAAATTTTAGTGGAATGGAAAAAACGTGTATCAAGAGAAATTAACGGAAATTTATGTACAGCAGGGTATATATATTTCAATTTTTATATTTCACAATCCTTTGTATTATAGTTATAGACATATAGTATTTACTCTATCACTTATTAGAGTAAAAAAAAAAATAAATAAAAAATTGAAATTGGTAAACACGTTATATATTAATTAACTATAATAACTAACCAAATACAAAAATGCGCCTAAATAAATAAAAGTATTTATTAAATAAAATTAATTAATAAAATATAATTGTTCTTTTTATTTAATGCGAATTCTCTTAACTTTTGGAGATTTGGATAATACATTGTAATTAAAATAAAGTGATCTATTTTCATATTCTATTATCTCCTGTATTGCGGATTTTCGTTTAAGCAAATCACCACCATTTTTGAGTGTTTTACGAAAAAAAGTAGAGACTTGATTATGGTTCTTTTTCTCAACAGCAGAACAAGAAAATGCTTTAAAACCCCATCTTTTATGCTTTTCTAAAAGTTCCCACCCGTGATAAACCAATGCATGCATATAAGGGGTTATCTGATTTGGCATATATAATCCTCGAACATATATTTTTGGACGAGAAGGATTTCCTTGTGATGGAGTGAGAAACAGAGATAACCACTCAAGAGATTGCTGCTTTAATTGTGCTGGATCTGTATTTTTATTTCGGAGGGCACAATACAATTCATAAAATCCATCCCAAAGCTTACGAATTAATTCTGCACGAGAAGGTTTGAAGAGTAATTTTAAATTAAAAAACTGCAAAACAGTTTTTTTGTCATCTCCCATAAGAGATGTATATTTCCAAACGTGAGATTTTTCATCTTCCCAGAAGTGAAAAGACACTTTTAATCTTTGCATTTCACCCAAAATAACACTTCGTGTCAGATCATTAAACAAACCATTTTCTTGGATTTCTGCAAGCATCAATTCCCAGAGTCTATCAGTAATTCGTAAGAGAGCATGTAATTCATCAAAGATTATGTTTTCTATTGGAATCATACTAAAGAGAGGAGGATTAATATGTCCGTTGATTTCATTATAGTTTGTTATAAGTTGATCTATACTTTTTTCAATACACCAATTTTTATTCAAATCTCCAATTTGATTCTTTGAACAACAGCACCAGGGGCAAAAATAGTTTGCAGTAGGGCCATTTAATCCAAGACAAATAGCCA